ACCCAGCACGGTAACGAAACGTCTGCGGAACAACAAACCAGCTCGGCGAGCCAACCAACCTCAACACCCACAACCCGAGCTACAGATCTACTCCAAAACCTTTTTCTGATATTGCCCACGTAGGCTCATGGAACCATCCTCAGTGGATCTAGACATGGAAGATGCTGTCATCTCTGTGCCTGTTGCACCAAGAGTGCCACAGACGTTGATGAGGAACACAGCCATCTTGGATCCCAGAACCAGCAGCAACCTCCAGTACATAAAGAGCAGCATCCTAATGCAGATTTTTCATCCAAAGCTTTCCTGCCAATGTGGTGAAGGTGTAGAATTCCCAAAATTGCTAATCTTGCATGGAATGCTGTGCAGATAAGGGAGGGGCAGTGATACTGTTCTCCGTTTAGAGGTAACAATCAGAACGTCTAATAATGCCCAGCTTCCACTTGTGCCAACAAGGACCATAAGGTATCTCCTCAACATCAGATTCCCATGCTTGTCAGGTCTTGGGATTTGTTGAAGTACGGTACAAACAGAAAACACTGTATTATCCATCGATGTTTAGTTCTGGACAACTGAAGGATGCAACAAGACATGGTGATGAGTGATGAGGATCTGTGAGAACATTGCACTGGGTAGGAAAATAAGGACATTCACCTAAAGGAATGCCACCCTCACCATCCTACAAAACAACCCAGACAGGCCTTCTTTGTAAACCACTTTCAACAGACTATAAATGTTCTAATAAAAACCGAAAGAACTGTGGATGCTGTAAATCAGGAACAAAAAGAGAAGTTGCTGGAAAAGCTCAGCAGGTCTGGCAGCATCTGTGAAGAAAAAAAATCAGAGCTAATGTATCCGCTCTGAGGAAGGTTTACAGGACCCAAAAAATTAACTCTGATTTTCTCTTCACAGATGATGCCAGGCTTGCTGAGCTTTTCCAGCAACTTCTGTTTTTGTTATAAATGTTCTGATGTTGCAGAGGCCAGCATCGCCTGCTTAATCCAAATTGAAAAAGAAACTTACTGGTTTGTTTCATTTTCACTTTTGCATTGGTTTGTAATCTTAACTTCTATTGAACAGAAAGTCTTCATAATATCTGATGATCCTTCATTCAAATATGACACAGTTTCATGCTGATATCGGAGCTAGGGAAAGAACAGTTATTTGCTATGACTAGGTTAGAACATTGTGCCCTGCTAAGGATGACGAGCCACTCTATCTTCATTCTTACAATTGCAACTAAGATGTTGCTCACATATCTGATGATGAACAGTGAACATGTGATATTATAATTACAATGAATTTTCCTTTTCCCATTACATCCCATTAAATCTATGTGTAGTCTTTGGGTTCACAGCAAGGTTGGAGAGATCCTTCGTGAGAGTGGAGCCTGGTGGCCTTGGTGTTTTGGGTGGGTGACCCCAGTTGCATTTGTGACTGAAGGGGTCAAGCACATTGAGAGAGTCCTGTCCAGATGTGGGCTCATTGTGATTAGATTGAACTTCCATTGTTTTGGGAATTGTACGCAAGGTTAGTTGGGTGAGTTGGCGTTGGCAGGGGGCGGTTGGAAGGGATAGGTACCTCTGAAGGAAGCTGAGAAGAGACTGAATGTAGTTCTACGTCCAGCTGGGTTCCTACTGGCACCACTCTGACTCCTTGCAAGGACAGCATCTAGAATGTTGTCGGCTCTTCGTCCACCAACACCACACCCCCGTTGTCTTCTACAGAGATGGTGTATAAGAATGTCCACATAGGCAGTAGACACTGAGCATGCTGGATCTGCTCTCTATGTCAGCCATTAAGCTGTCTCTGGAAAAAGCCAAATACTCGCATGCCAAAGCCAGCACGGTACAAATTGATGGACTGCTCCAACTTTAATCCAGTTTGCTGAATGTCTCTGATTAAATCTGCCTGCTGCTCCCGTGACAGCTTGTGCGTTTTGGCAAAACTATCAGTGACCAACAGCATGGCGTTCTCTCCTGCAGACGTTTGGACTCTAGCAGTTCTCCAAGGGTGCCAGTGACCTGGGGCATTTCTTCCTCAGCAGAGAGGTGGCAGTGATGTGCTCACCAGAATATGCTCTGGACTCTAATCTAGATACAGTACCAACCAAGGTGTCAACAAATGAACTGGTGGAGGGTACAGGATACAGCCTTGCTGCATAGATCATCTAAGAGGTCAGTGACTTCTTCCAAGATGATGGAGGAGATATCGGCTGATGGAGCTTGTCCCCTGAGCACGGAGACTGTATGGATGCTTCTGGTACCTGCAGAAGGCAACAGAAGGAATGAGTAGCCAAATAGGAGCTGAAGCCTGTTAAGAATATGCCTACTGGTGGTAATGGGACAGTAACACAATGGTCATCAATGAATCTTATTTGGTTTCTGTGACATTGAGGTCCCAGTGTTACCACATAATCTTCTCCCATTGTTCAAGGATCTTCTCGCACTGAGTGAGGTGATGAGTGCTGGGATCCCACCACCAATTCTGACACTCTGAGCCCTACTACAGGCAATCTTCTCCTACAATGAGACAAAAGGAGGGACTGAGTCAGATGAAAGTGGTTGACAGCTGTGTTGGTGCAGATGGAGGAAGGGTAGTGAGTTATCCTGACTGAATGACTGGATGTTCAGAGGGCAGGAAGGCTTAGTAGTTTTGCAGGATTGGGTGGTAACACTGCGTGAGACAAGATGCTGCAGGCAATGGCGAAACTTGTAGACCATGAGCCTCAGTGGGAGGTGTGTGCAGTAGCAGAGAGAAGCTAGTGGCACACAGGATCATTAACCTTCTTCCTATTCCTGCATTGCTGGCTGGTACCTTTACACCAGGCTGACAGGGTTTGCATTATGGATTCCTCTGGCTGTCTCGTGGAAAGACAATGAGTCTGCTCTCCACCATGTCATCCACCATGGCCTTCAGGGCCCTATCAACAATGCAGGATGCCAACGTGCTTCTGTCAGCCATCCCCAGTGCAATTCTTGCATGTGAAGGGCAATATCTGGCAAATTTAAATATGGTAGCAGTAACTCTAAACCTGGAAGATCCTGGCAGTGGAGAGCACTTCCTCGGCTGGTGAGTGTAAGAGTGGTGCTTTGGGGTCATGGTGCAATCTTAATGAGGTGAACTCTATAAAATTGCTAATTCACTAGAGTTCACAGAAAGAGACCCTCCCACCATGAAGCCATCCAAAATTTACACGGTATTTTTTGACAAAATTCAACCTTCCTAATTTTTCAATGTACTTGTAAGTTAACATTATGTGATTCATGTACAATTACAACCAACCTCTGAATACAAACATTTCCTATTTCACTATTCAAAAAAAATCTACTTTTTTATTTTTCTTACAAAATGGATAATTTGACACTTTGTCATAAATTGCACTGTTGGCCATTTTTTGCCTACATGCTTTATATCCTTCTGCTGTCTCTGTGCCATCCTCAATGCTTACTTCCCTATGTCAGCTCTAGTGCTCTTGCCATTCAAGCACAAGGTCTTGGGTTCAAGCCTCCCCCCAGGGTTTTCAGATGAGATGTTCATCTGAGGCCTGTTGGGTGCATATACCTGGGGCACCTATGTAGAAGAGTAGAGGAGTTATGCCTGGTGTCCTGTCTCATGTTTATCTCTCAATCAATATCCCAAAAATATTTTATTACATTTGTGAAAACTTCACATTTGCAAATTAAGTGCCGTGATTCCTGTATGATAATAGTGACCATGTTTCAAAAGAAATACAGCTGTAAAATTCTTTGAAGTGTCTGATAGCATTTAAAGGTGCTATAGAAATGGTTCTTTTTAACCTTGTATTGGCAATAACTCTAGACATATTGTA